TAGCAAGCCACCCACGACGCCGACAAGGACAGAGCGACAAGCACGGCCCACACCACTACATCACGCGTACACCACACACACACACACACACCACACACACACACACACACACACACACACACAGAGAGACAGAAGCGCGCCGGAACAAAACCGACGTGAGCTCATCCTCCGATTGGCTGATTGGCTCCAGCGTGACGCCATACGCGTATGTTCATGACTTGTACGTCCGTCCGTCTTCCGCGTCTCGTGTCCAGCAGCACCATTCGTTTGACCGATGCTTGCCCTCCACGCCGACAGCCACCACACTGCAAGCAACACCACGACGCCGCCGTGCGAGTGCGACAGAGATGGAGAGAGGCGGCGGCGGTGCGTGGATAGACGACGTGTGAAACCATTACGAGATGACCAAGCATCGCCTCGTCCCCCTCCCACACACAATAAAACACACACACACACACACACACACACACACACACACACACACACACTACACACGCACGCGCAGTGGGCCCACGCGAAGGCCAGGCGCCAAATTCGTCAATATTAGCAGCCAGATTATGTCCGGCAGTTCCCTCGGTGCGTACACCACACTGTACACCACACTGTACACACCGTACACGCGATTCGCCCAGGCCGCGTGTCACGCCGTCACGCGCGTCGCACGCAGGGGAAGGCCACTGCGAGTCTTTGAGCCTCGCCGACACCACGAGAGCAAAGTGAAGCAGACTTTGAAATTCACCCACAAAAAAAGATTTCTTGATTTTTTTTTAAATTTTCTCGGGTTTTTATAGGAGAAAAAGTCTTAACACAAGAAAATTTTCTGCATACAAGAAAAAAGTTTGGATAAAGAAATGTTTCCGTAAAAAATAACAAGAAAAGTTAATTTTTTATCCAAGAAGTTTTTTTGGGGGTGTTGGTCGAGGTCACTATTCAGAAAGCAATGGAAACATCAAGCTTGCAAGGTTGTCGTATAGTTGTAAGTTGTAGAAATTCCATAGATTTTTTTTCTTTTTTTACTTAGAACTCATGCATGACTGCAGATAAGACCGAGGCTGCTCGTCACTAGCAAATTAGACGAGGTGTAATGATCAACTTGGATCGGAAAGTCACAAGGTCTCCTACGCACGCAAACGAAGAGCGATGATGGATGAATTTCGATTTTGCTCCAGTCCAATACCGGGTTGGCGAACTGGAAGGGGCCCTCAGTGGGCCAGAAGACTGGTGGAGGCGGCCAAAACTCTGGACGCGTTTTGAGAGCTCCAGAGTCGCTGAGAGGGGCTCGAACCGAACGTGTGACCCCACCAATGGATTCCTCGTTCGGAGAGCAATCCATTAGTGGGGTCGCGCGTTCGGTTCCAGTCCCATTTAGCGACTCTGGAGCTCAAAACGCGTCCAGAGTTTTGTCCGCCTCCACCGGTCTTCTGGCCCACTGTGTCTGCAAACAAGTCCGCGTGACTGACGCCTGCCGTCCGTCCGCGAAGCCTCGCGATGCTCGATGTTGGGATAATGTGTTCCACTTGGGTTCCGCCGTGTCTCCGCGGCCACTTGCCCGAGAAAGCCGAGACGCGGGTTCGCGCCCCGCCCGGCCCGCCTTTTTTTCGGAGGCAGCCTCCCTGCCCGGCGACGCGCGACGCGCCGCGCGCCTCCTCGCACGCAGTCGTGTTCCAATTCTCCGCGCAGAACGCGCGGGCGACCTGACTCAACCGGCTCCGTCCCACCACTACACTAGATCAGGGTCTTGACCCAGGTCCGATCTTGCTGTTGTTGTTGTTGTTTTCTTTTTCGCGCGTGTGTGCGTGCTTTCTCCCGAAGGCCTACGATTCCGCCTGACTGCCACAGGCCAGCATTTACCAGTGTGGAAAGGGTTGCCAACCTCAGCCTAGGCGACTTCAAGACAGCGGAGCCGAGGTTGACCAGTAGGCAGGCTGAGGTTGGCAACCCTTTCGACACTGGTGCACAGAGGCAACTTTGCCAACTTAAGCGGCAAAACTGCCTTGAGTCACGATGGCGACCCAACCTCTTGCCCGGAGACTTCAATGCCAGTCAAGTGACTGAGCTCTGACGAGGACCTGTCTGTTGTCCATTGGTAAAAGTAGCATTCAGGACGGTCCGCATCCCGCATCGAGCGTGGTCTCGGGACATTGCCCCGAAAAAGCAGCAGCCATCAAACATAGAGGAAAAGGTCTCTTTTCATTCTGCTGCGACGTACACTGCAGCTTCTTATCGCTCGGTTACGAGACACAGATAGCATGCTAGTCAAAACCTCTCCAAAAGACTAATCTCATACACAATGTATCACCCGTTCACAGATTGCCCGTCTAAACAAAACTATCCCGATAAGCAGAACCACCGCGCTCCCAGTGATGTCTCGAAACGATAGCTCGGTCGTTTTGCTCACACTTAAAACCTTATTTTGAGCATATGACACTACAAAATCAAATGTGTGCTTAGCATACAGCTGTGGGAGTGTACTAGCAAGTACACATCTATAGGTGTGTACTTGACTAGCGTACATCTATAGATGTGCACTTGGGCAAGCATGCATCTATAGCAGTGTACTTAAGCACACATACATGTCACCCATTTGACAGCACACTCCTATTGATGCATGCTTGCCCAAGTACACATCTATAGATGTATGCTTGTCAAGTAAACATCTATAGATGTGCACTTGCAAGTATACTCCCACATCTGTGTACTAAGCACACATATGATTTTGTAGTGTACAATCTAATTTACTTTTTTATGTGAAGAAATAATTCGTAAATTACAGAGTATTTTCTTCGTAAGCTTAAGTATGCTCTAAATACTTTGTTGTAACAAGCTGCTTTTAAGTGTGAAGGCTAAAACAGTTCGTAAGGTTTTCTCAGTGCTCGGTCAAGATTTAATGAAGTTTGTAAAATAAGAGGAAGTGGCAAAGGCTTTCCGGGACGCTAGCGGTGCCCCTGCCCACGCAGCATCGGCCGACCCGACCGGCCTCCCCGCCTCGCAGGCCACGCAGCGCAGGCCTCGCTACGCTGAGCACGCACAAAAATGACAGACGAATTAAAAAGAACGAAAAAAAAACCTTGTCGAGAAATAGAGCAGCATATGAATACGAGTCAACGGCCTCGGTGAAACAAGATCCAGGGAATTCTTTCTGCAGTTTTTTCAGCCAATCGTCTAAGTGGACGCGGGAACACATTTTCCAGACTCGCCTGTTTCCCTGGCGCTGCACAGTGGGCCAGATGACGGGCGAAGGCGGCTTAAACTCTAGACGTGTTTTGAGCTCCAGAGTCGCTAAACAGAACTCGAACCGAACGTGTGACCCGACCAATGGATTCCTCGTTCGAAGAGCAATCCATTGGTGGGGTCACACGTTCGGTTCGAGTCCCGTTTAGCGACTCTGGAGCTCAAAACGCGTCCGGGATTTGGACCGCCTCCACCGGTCTTCTGGCCCACTGTGCGCTGGCAAGGGCAGACTACCTTCTTTGGGCGGATTATTCAAATCAGGCGATTACGTGAAACACACGTAGGGCTGGGTCGCGATCTCAGATCAGGTCGACAGAGATGATCAGCCAATCACGACACAGTGTGTCGCAACCTCTACTGGAAAATCGATTCCGTTCGAGCTCTCTAGGCGGTACCCTCAACGCGACGCGACAACGCCCAACATGTCCTTAGAGATAATTTAACTTTGCAGTGAGCCTTTTTTCCCAAGTAGCTGCAAGTTGGCATCACTGGACTGCGGTCCGGCGTGGCGGCGACCACCGCGGCGTCACCGGCGCGTTTCGGTCAGCGAAAAATGTGTCATTCCTAACGATGCGACGCTCTCTCACTTTCTCGCGCCAAAACGCCGCGTTGCCAACCTCACAGATTTTAACGCGTCTCGCCGCCGAGTTAACGCAATTATAAACTTGGATGTTTGTCGCTTTGTACCGCGTGCCTGGCGCCTGTAACTCTCTCCCTCCATCTCGTCCCGAGACTCGGCGAACTTGGCAAAGTCGCAGTGAATGTGTTTCACTTTTAACGCCCGGCCTGCGTCTTCCCACACACCGCGTCTCACGCTGGGAGAGAGAGAGAGAGAGAGAGAGAGAGAGAGAGAGAGAGAGAGAGAGAGAGAGAGAGAGAGAGAGAGAGAGAGAGAGAGAGAGAGAGAGAGAAGGGTCGGGGAAGAGTGCTGCGAAAACGGCCGCTGATTTAGAAACGTTTGCCTTTCTAGGCGATTCAGTGCCTTAATTAGTCGCTGAGGTCTCTTTAAGTTCACATACAAGCACATGATTTGAAGAAGAAAAGAAGAAAATAAAAGGAAATTGGTCGGTATTTGAACCCGCGACCCCGGCCACCGTGCGGTTTCCGGCACGCGATGGAGGGAGCACCGGTGCATTTCCGGGAAGGTTCAAACACCGGCGCGCTCTCTCTGCGGCTTGGGCCGGTCGCTCCGAATCAAACACCGAGGCCCAAACTCGAGCGGGCTCTCCGAAGAGGCCGTTTGGGACGCCTTGCTCGGTTCAACTGAGCTGGGGCGGGGCGGGGCGAGGCGGGGCGGGGTCCAGGTGAGAGCAAGCGAAAGGACAGAGGGGCGGGGGGCCTGCTGCTACGCATCAACAAGCGTGCATTCAAGTTTGTCCCGTTCTGTTCCGTTCGGCGTCCCTGCCTCTCTCTCTCTCTCTCTCTCTCTCTCTCTCTCTCTCCTCTCTCTCTCTCTCTCGCTTTGCGCTCCCCCTCTTTCTCTCTCGTTTCTGAGTGACAGCGGTGGGTGAGGCGAGTGCGTTGCATTGGCCGGACGCAGCGCCACACATGCACACACACACACACACACACACACACACATATGCACGCACGCGCACTCACAGATGCACACTCACATGCACACACACACACACACACACACACACACACACACACACACACACACACGCGCGCGCGCGCGCGCGCTGCTGGAGGCAGAAAAAAAGGTTCGCTTCCGGCTGGCGTTCGGCACGGCACTGCTTTCCTAAAACCTCGACATCGACGCTCACCTTTAGCTTGGAGAAGGTGAAGTAGTCCTTGGGGCTGGCGACGCGGTCGTCGTCGCCACGCCGTCACTTGGACCGCTGCACTGGAGCGCTTGACTCACTCACACACACGCACAATCACACACAAGCGGTTGAACTTCCCCGTCGTCGGTCAATGGCACGTCACAGTAGTCGCCATCCCCGTGCAGGCCGTGCAGGCCAGGTCGTCTGGCCCAAACCGGCTGGGCCACCGCTCGCCCCGACACCAACACCCCCGGCTCGGCTCGGCTCGGCTCGGCTCGGCTCGGCTCCGTTCGGCTGCGCGCTCGGCTCGGCTCGGCTGGCGTGCCGACTGCCGACTGGCGCTCTCGGCCGTCGCGTCGCTACTGAGACTCTGACTGGCACGGCGGCCCAGCCATGGGCCCAGCCCAGCCCGTCTCTGCCCCCCTCGCTCGCCGCGGGGAGGGGGAGGGGGCATCCACAGGGCAGGACCTGCACTACAAGCCTGCACGCGCGAGACGGAGACGGCGTGGTCACTCCACCAGAAGGGCCTGCCGTCTGCCTTCCGTCGCCGCGAGCCTCCGAGGACCCCGACAAGGCCGGAAGGCCGGTGGAGGCGGCCAAAATCCCGGACGCCTTTTGAGTCGCTGTATGGGACTCGAACCGAACGTGTGACCCCACCAATGGATTGCTCTCCGAACGAGCAATCCATTGGTGGGGTCACACGTTCGGTTCGAGTCCCGTTTAGCGACTCTGGAGCTCTAAACGCGTCTAGAGTTTTGGCCGCCTCCACCGACCTTCTGGCCCACTGTCGCCCCCTGCAGCCGGGCTGGCCGCGGCTGCCTGCATGGTCTGTCCGGCGCGGGAGTGGCCGCACCGCCTTGCCGCCCCACCGGGTTCAAACACTAACTTATTCCGGATTCCACCCACAAGGGCCGGGCCGGGCACGTCGCTGCACTACAAAGTCGCCTCGTCGCTCCGTCTAGCTCGCTCGTGTGCCGGCACGTGTGCGCGCGAGAGAGACATCACGACGAAAGCACTGTTCAGTCCGCGCTGCAAGTGCTCGCGCCCTGCAGCAGACTCATTCCGAGAGCCGTTTTCGTCGCTCTGTCTCTCTCGCACGGGTATGGGACGCGCCCTGAGTGCGAGAGAGACAGACTGCTGCGCTCCGTGGGCGGAGCACAGTGGGCCAGAAGACCGGTGGAGGTGGCCGAAACTCTGGACGCGTTTCGAGCTCCAGAGTCGATACATGGGACTTGAACCGAACGTGTGACCCCACCAATGGATTGCTCTTCGAACGAGGAATCGATTGGTGGGGTCACACGCTCGGTTCAAGTCCTCTTTAGCGACTCTGGAGCTCAAAACGCGTCTAGAGTTCTGTCCGCCCCCACCGGTCTTCTGGCCCACTGTGCCCCTCCTAGTCGTGGCAGTGAACTTGGTGCAGTCCGTCTGCAAGCCGCCGGCCAGCCGGCTAGCCGAGCGGCAAGCCCAACTTGGAAACAGGATTGCCACGAATAGTGTTGCAAGGCCGGATTTGGCATTATTACGCTGTTTCATTTTTATTTTTATTTTACTGCGCGAATAAAATCCGTTTTATCGAACCGGGGGCAGGTCTCTGGTCTCACCCGGCTGCACGGCCAACGTCGTTGCGCCTCGGTCGCGGGTTCGACTACCGGCGGCAGCCCGATTTATTTTATTTTCGATTTTTGCTCTAAACTTGGTTTGAACTTGAAAGATTCCTTTAACTCCGTTCAGGCAGTGCGAAGCCACTTAAACGGCTTTGTCATCACTAACCGCTGTAAAAACTGCCAAGAGGACCACATCTGGCAGAACTTTCCTCTCTCTCCGACCAGAAATGCGCGCTGCTCCAACTTGAACGGCATTTGACACATCCGGTGTTTTGGTGACGGCAGGTGCACAGTCCCCGCAGGGCGGCCAGGGCACAGTGGGCCAGAAGACCGGGGAGGTGGCCAAAACTCAAGACGCGTTTTGAGCTCCAGAGTCGCTAAATGGGACTCGAACCGAACGTGTGACCCCACCCATGGATTCCTCGTTCGGAGAGCAGTCCATTGGTGGGGTCACACGTTCGGTTCGAGTCCCATTTATCGACTCTGGAGCTCAAAAACGCGTCTAGAGTTTTGTCCGCCTCCACCGGTCTTCTGGCCCACTGTGCAGGGCGGCCAGGGCCTGTTTGTGGTGGCTGAGAGTCAGCTGTGCCTCCACGCTTCCGGCCGCCGCGGCCACGGCGCTACTCCGGGCGTGCGTGCGGGCCGTGCGGACATACCCCGGAGCGCAGCGCCGCAGCGCGGGGTATCGCCGCGGCCCGGGCGCCGCGCCGTCCATACCCCGTGCTAGAGCCACTGCACTGGCGAAACAAAGGCTGCAAGCATCGCAAGCGCCCGGCGCAGTAGGCAACCCGCTCCACTACCGAGCAGTGGGGTTGCCTACCCGCCGCATCGCAGGCGCCCTCGTCTAGTCCTGGACAGTGGCGTGCTCCCTTCTCGCCCAAGGGGCCCGAGGCCGTCGTTTTCGTTGGTCCTAACCCAGCCTTATACCTCGTTTTCGTTTTCGTTTTCGCGTTTTCGTTGTCGCGTTTTCGTTGTCGCGTTTTCGTTTTCGCGTTTTCGTTTTCGCGTTTTCGCGTTTTTGCTTTCGCGTTTTTGTTTTCGCGTTTTCGCGTTTTTGCTTTCGCGTTTTTGTTTTCGCGTTTTTGTTTTCGCGTTTTCGCTTTCGCGATTTCGCTTTCGCGTTTTCGCTTTCGCGTTTTCGCTTTCGCGTTTTCGCTTTCGCGTTTTCGTTTTCTTCTTTTTCTTCTTCTTCTTCTTCTTCTTCTTCTTCTTCTTCTTCTTCTTCTTCTTCTTCTTTTTCTTCTTTTTCTTCTTCTTCTTCTTCTTCTTCTTCTTCTTCTTCTTCTTCTTCTTCTTCTTCTTCTTCTTCTTCTTCTTCTTGGGGTTGTGGCTCCAGATGCAGCGACTTACGTACCACGGCACTCTCTGCGCTGAATCGGTCCGAATCTGTCCGCATCGGTGCCCCGAGGTGTTCTGGCCGCGCCAGACCTGCGTCACACGCTGGTGTGTTGCGCCCTGTGGCGCCCTGTGGGCTGACGGCGGCGGACGCGGGCGGGCACACTGCTCTCGGCGACATTCGGCGACACTCCGCGACCCAGCAGCACCACGCACTTCGGCGCCGGGCGGCACCAGGGCAGCACGGCCGAGGGGACACCAGGAGGGACAGATAGATAGGCAGAGCAAGCATATACAGAGCGGCGATCGGAGTGTTTGGGTGAGTGGTGCTCCCACAGGAGCGTATTTCGCCACACGTTTTGCCCCCTTGCTGCCGGTTTTGAAAATACCCCGCGGTGTTCCGTTCCACAGTGGGCCAGAATACCGGTGGAGGTTACCAAAACTCTAGACGCGTTTTGACCTCCAGAGTCGGTAAATGGGACTCGAACCGAACGTGTGACCCCACCAATGGATTGCTCTCCGAACGAGCAATCCATTGGTGGGGTCACACGCTCGGTTCGAGTCCCACTTAGTGACTCTGGAGCTCAAAACGCGTCTAGAGTTGTGTCCGCCTCGAGGGGGAAACGACTTCGGTTATCAGATGTACAGCAAATTGGTTATCCGCTATCCGGATAACCAGAAATTTCGAAGTAATCCGGGGAAATTCTGAGGTAATCCGGGAAATTTCTGAGGTAATCCGGGGTTATCCAATGGTAATCCTGGAAATTTTTCGATGTAATCCGGAGGTAATCCGGGGGTTATCCGGGGTTATCCCTATCCGATGTACACAAAATTTCTCAGTCGTTTCCCCCTCGGTCCGCCTCCACCGGTCTTCTGGCCCACTGTGCGCTCGCCCCTTCGCAGGGCTCCTCGGACGCAGCCCAAGTTAACTGTCTGCAGACAGCCTGGCCAATAAAAGTCGAAACCAAACGAAAACGAAATTGCATTTCGACTTTGTCCGGGCACGGCTGCCGTTTTAGCGGTGGTAGCCCCTCCCTCCCCGGGTCCCCGGCGGTTCCCGGTTTTATCACGCTGGTTTCTCCATCGGCCTTGCAGCTTGCAGCAAGCCGTCCCCCGGACAATAGGCCGACGGTGCTCTCAGTCCGAGAGCGGCGCGGGACGCAGGCGGTCACTCGGTCATTTGGGGAACCGGCGGCGCGGACCTCTTTAGCGGATCGGCCGAGGCAGCGCTCAGGTAGGCCGCCGGCCCACAGTGGGCCAGAAGACTGGTGGAGGCGGACAAAACTCTAGACGCGTGCAGAGCTCCAGAGTCGCTAACTGGGACTCGAAATGGACGTGTGACCCTATTAATGGATTGCTCGTTCGGAGAGCAATCCGTTGGTGGGCTCACACGTTCGGTTCGAGTCTCATTTACCGACTCTGGAGGTCAAAACGCGAGGGGTGACCCACTGTCAAATTTTATGTACAATGATTGTGTGAATGTGCAAGAATGTGCAAGATTTTTGGCGTTTTTGCCACACATGTTGCCTACTTACAGGCGTTTTTGCCACCTGAATGTGGAATGTGGTCAAATTTTGTACAATGAATGTGTGAAGCTGTTCCCCCCTCGTCAAAACGCGTCTTGAGTTCTGGCCACCTCCACCGGTCTTCTGGCCCACTGTGCGGGCTGCTTGCTGTGCCCTCGTACCACCGTGGCAGCGTCACCAACCTCTCGGCGGAAATCCAGCTGGAGAACCCTTTCGCAGTGAACGTGCTAACCAGCGCACAGTGGGCCAGAAGACCGGCGCAGGCGGCCAAAATTCTAGACGTGTTTTGAGCTCCAGAGTCGCTAAATGGGACTCGAACCGAACGTGTGACCCCACCAATGGATTCCTCGTTTGGAGAGCAGTCCATTGGTGGGGTCACACGGTCGGTTCGAGTCCCATTTAGCGACTCAGCAGCTCAAAACGCGTCTAGAGTTTCGGCCGACCCCACCGGTCTTCCGGCCCACTGTGACACGCTGTGCTTGTTGGCGCAGGGCGTGCTGCAGGATGGTGACGCTGTTCGCACTCGTGGTGCTGGTGACGCTGTGGCTGGCGCGGTACGCGGCCGGCAGGGTGAAGGTGACCAGCCTGCTGGCGGCCGTGCCGGGGCCCAGCTACCCGCTGCCCCTCATCGGCCACCTCATCTACATGTTCGGCCCCATGGACGGCATCCTGGACCGCGGCATCCGGCTGTACCGGACCTACGGCCCGGGCCCCATCAAGTTCTGGATCGGGGAGTGGCCCTCGGTGCAGGTAAGGACTGGCAAAAAAAGAAAAAAAAAAGTTGGTGTTTGAACCCGGGTTCTCTTCCCCTAGATAATGCGGCCCGAGGACATCGAGCCGGTGCTCAACTCGCAGAAGGAGGTGGAGAAGCCCGACCTGATCTACAAGCCGGTGCGGGCTTTCTTCGGTGACGGCCTCATCACTCTCAACGGCGACGCGTGGTTCAAGCACCGCCGCGCGCTCACCCCCGCCTTCCACTTCAGGTAGCTTTCAAGAGCGAAAAATGCTTACAGTTGAGACTGTCGAAATCCCGGACGCGTTTTGAGGCGCAGCGTCGCTAAATGTGACTCGAACCGAACGTGTGACCCCACCAATGGACTGCTCTCCGAACGAGGAATCCATGAGTGGGGTCACACGTTCGGTTCGAGTCCCACTTATCGACTCTGGAGCTCAAAACGCGTCTCGAGTTTTGGCCGCCTCCACCGGTCTTCTGGCCCACTGTGCAGCGTCCTGGAGCGCTACGCCGGCATCTTCACGCGGCGCGCCGCGGCCTTCGCGGACCTGCTGCTGGCCGAGGTGCCCGCCGACAAGACGGTCAACATCATGAAGTTCCACTCGGCCTTCGTGACGGAGACCATCATGGAGACGGCGTTCGGGATGCCGCCGGCGTCCCGGGCCTCCAGCGTCCAGAACAAGGAGATGTCCGACCTGGTGCGCGCCACGGAGGACGCGTTCGGCGTCATCGTGCACCGCATCTTCCACCCCTGGCTGCTCATCGACGCCCTGTTCAAGCTGAGCCACTCGGGGCGCGTCAACCAGCGCGCCGAGGCCATCATCACCCGGCACGCCAAGGCCGTCATCGCGCAGAAGAAGCTCGAGCTGCAGCAGCGCCGCGCCGCCGGCGACGACGACGACGCACCCGACGCGGACGAGGACGCCGGCGTGCGCAAGAAGTACACCTTCCTGGACATGGCGCTGGGCGGCAAGTCCGACGTGCTGTCGGACGCCGAGATCCTGGAGGAGGTGAGCCACGCACCACAGTGGGCCAGAAGGCCGGTGGAGGCGGTCAAACTCCCGGACGCGCTTGGAGCGCCAGAGTCGCTAAACAGGACTCCAACCGAACGTGTGACCCCACCAATGGATTGCTCTCCGAACGAGGAATTCATTCGTGGGGTCACACGCCCGGTTTGAGTCCCGTTTAGCGACTCCGTGCTCAAAACGTGAAAAGTTTTGTCCGCCTCCCCGGTCTTCTGGCCCTCTGAGCACGGCGCGCCTTTTCATTTTAGCGTGTCTATTTTAATATGTTTCTAAATTTTTTTTGTGACGCGTCACTTCCGTTGCAGGTCCGCACCCTGATCGCCGTGCAGCAGACGTCCGCGTCGACGCTCAGCTTCATCATGGTCATGCTGGCCCTGAACCCCGAGGTGCAGCAGCGCGCGCGCGCCGAGGTGCGCGAGGTGGACGCCATCGAGGGCCTGCACCCGCTGGACCGCCTCAAGCGCCTCAAGTACGTGGAGCGCGTCATCAAGGAGACCATGCGCCTGTACCCCATCACGGCCATCTTCTCCAGGAAGCTCAAGGACGAGGTAAGGAACGTCATAATTCGTAAATCCCGGACGCGTTTCGAGCTGCAGAGTCGCTAAACGGGACTCAAACCGAACGTGTGACCCCACCAATGGATTCCTCGTTCGGAAGAGCACATTGGTGGGGTCACACGTTCCCTTCGGTTCGAGTCCCCATTTAGCGACTCTGCGGAGCATCAAAACGCGTCCGGGATTTCGACCGCCTCCACCGGTCTTCTGGCCCACTGGGGTATCGCCACTTCGCGGAGTAGTGACGCCTCGCTCTCTGCAGGTGCACCTGCCGGGGCACACGCTGCCGGCCGGCGTGCTGGCCACCATGTTCATCTACATGACGCACCGCGACGACCGCCACTGGCCCGACCCGGAGCGCTTCGACCCCGACCGCTTCCTGCCCGACAACTGCGTGGGCCGGCACCCCTACGCCTACGTGCCCTTCAGCGCGGGCCCGCGCAACTGCATCGGCCAGCGCTACGCCATGCTGCAGATGAAGGCCGTGGTGGCGGCCGTGGTCGCCAAGTGCGTCGTGCTGCCCGGACGGGGGCTGGAGTCGCGTGACAAGATCCGCCTCAACATGGACACCTTCCTCTACATCAAGGGCGGCTTCAACGTGCGCCTCAAGCCCGTCGGCGGCGGCCTCTTCGAGTAGCGCCGTCACGCTTTCGTCCCCACGCGGGTCCACGACACTTGATGCGGACAAAGTATTCCACGAGCCGAGAGGCGCTAGACTCTTCTTAGTGCTACCCGGGGCCATGACCCTGAGACGCTTTTGAATAAAGATAAGCGCGTATCACAGCGGTCCGCAGTGGACGCACGCAACGAGTGTCCGGTCCCCACGTTTTGGGTTCCGAGGAATTCATATTTACGCCGAACTGTCTCGGCTCTATCGAGCACGATAATCCACTGTGTACACCACACTGCAAAGGGCGGTCACGGTCTGACTTGAGACCGATTGACCCCAAAATGGCCCTCGGCCACCGCCAAAATGGTCGCCACTCGTAAAATGGAATGGGTGGCAACAAACTCGGAGGGAGATATCAAGACTCTGCGACGTTCTGACTAAAGGTTTATTGTGATGGTGGCAATGGCACAAAGAGTAGTATGATGCGGCGCCGGAGAAGAATACGAATATTTTACAATGCACATGCTGATCGCACATGTCAATAGCTTATCACTTTATCAGTCACATACAGTGAAAGTTTAATGCGTTTTCATAATCTGTAAATGACTGTATGTACATTCTTAGAAATACAAAATCACAAGAAGTTTTTTTTCTCTTTTAGCAACGGCACAGCAGCAAATGAACAAGCCATAACACTACCCGTTCGCCTTCCTCGCACTCATTCCATTCTTACTTGCACACTTTGGAATCTTATTCAGCTATTAAGTGTAACGCATTCAAAATCCTAAATCACAGAGTTCCTGCTCCTAGACAACATAAATATTACAAATAAATAATATTCGAAATCAACAAAGTTAGCAAACAAGGTAAATTGTTTACACATTGACTTAATAATATTTCCTTACCTACTGGCAACAAGATATGGATGATGTCCCAACATTTTAATTCAGTCCCCATTCTACAGTATGATTTCATGGAATGTAAATGTGACCCGGCTCTGCACGCACATTTCAACAGAACTGACACTGGGATTTCGTTGCAATCACATTAAAACAATAAGAATCTCGCCGTACGCGTATTCCGGGGGAAACTCACCAACGACTGGTCGGGCAAGCGATTTCTAATGATATGGACAAAAAACAATCGATTCTACCTTAAATTTCGCCAGACATGCACCAGTGACGGGGTTGGCGTGTACACGGGGCACACTCCTCACTCTCTCACACACACGCACTCACTCACGCACACACACTCGGTCGACTACAAGCAGGATCGCTACCCGACAAGGCAGCAAAGACATGCAGGACCATTTCTACAAAACGGAGCCATCTCTAACAAGACTATCACACAACTTGTAAGTTTTCTGAGATTACATTTTATCTGAATAAATGATCAACAAGAAGAATAACAATTCCTAATCGGAGTATATGCAACGTAACACGTATTAAAAATAAAACAAAAAACGAAAATGACATATTTAAACGAGTTATTGAATTACTAACAATTTAAGCCCGTTTATTGGAGTATTACGACCTCTTCAAACATTCTCTGTAATAGGCCAATAACGAAGGCCAGGTGGAATAATTACATATATACATATAAAAATTCTACAGATAAAATTTTACATAAATTGTACGTATACGTGCTCTAATTGTATTTGTAGGCACTCTGTTGTTTCCACGAGACTAAGATTTTCCTAATGATGAGGCAAAACTGAAGTGAGGTTCCCCTTTGTGATTCATATTATCTTTGCGGGTGATATGCTTTTCTTGCCCCTCTCAAAAAATCAAAACTTAAAAACGTTTCATACGAAACCGACTAGAATACAGGGGCATAATGGAAACATTTGCCGTGTGAATCAAGCATGCCTCGGTCCTCTGCCATACAACCATACACTCACAGAGCAATGATAAAATGGTTAATGACGTGTAATAGAAGAAATCGTAAGGTCCGCCCCGCGCCCTGGCCGAGCCCGTCCGAGTCCCTCGACGGCTCGCTAGGGCGGTTCACCTAGGAACACAGGACGTGCGCAAAAAAGGAATGCCACTCCCTCCGGAATGCAGTTGAAAAGCCCGAACGCGTTACGCCTCCATCATGACGGTGTTGTCCCTCATGGACAGGTCCTCCGGGTCGTCGTGGCGGAGCTTCGTCAGCGGGATGGGCTGGTTGGGCGAGTCCAGGACGCGGTCCAGGCCGCGCTTCCCCAGCGGCGACCCCAGGGGCGACCCGCCGGGGCCCATGCTGGCCATGGGGGAGCCCCCGGGCGACACCGGGCTGGGCGGCCCCGCGCTCAGGCTGCCGCCCAGGCTCTGGATCTCCTGCTTCACGGACGGGCCCTCGGGCATGGGCGATCTGGAACCAGCCAATGGACCCGAAATTTATATTTCACTGTCTCAGTGCCTGTGAAGACTGAAGATGTCAATGCAAGCACGGTGTTTTGTTTTTGGCGTACCTGTACCCCGACAGGGGCGAGTCCTTGTCCCTGCCTATGCTGCCGTTCGGCGACGCGCTCATGAGGCAGGCCATGTACTGCAGGTGGCTGTCGTCGACGCCGCCCTAAAAACAGAAAAAAAAACGCGTTTTTAAAAAAAGCAGAGAAAACGGACTTTAAGTTCAGTTTAAAGACCGGGGATGCCTATTCGAAACACACAAGAAACTGCACTTGGCACAAAATGAAGGTGAGGTCACAGAACCCTTGGAAAAATGCACTCACCTCAGCGTAGTCGTCGTTCTGCATTTGCTGCTGAAACAGAAACGCCTGTTCGTGAGTTACGCCGCTCTTAGAGGCTAATTAATTACTCAGAAAGAAATGGCCTGGTTGAACCGCTAGCTAGCCGCGAGGTGCGGACAGGCGGCCTGCTAATCACCTGAATGTGACTGTCGTAGTCCTCGGCGTGCATGTTGGGGCTCACGGCCATGGTGGGGCTCTTGGCGGGCTGACCACTGCAAGAAAACACGGTTCGCGGTCAGAACAGTGCAGCCACGGGCCGAACGGAATGCTCCGGGCGTGGGCTTCGAACGGACGACGTCCGATCGAAACCCGTCGGGAGCATTCTGGGTCGTTCATTGAGAAAACGGACGGAACTTTAGAATTTCAGAAATAATCGAAAAAGAGTAAAAAGTATTGAAAAAGTAGAGTATAAAAGAGAAAAAATTGGAGTAAAATATCTAAATACGGATATGAAATTGTAAGAAAAGAGGTAAAAATGTAAGGAATATTTAAAAAGTTGAATGAGAGAAAAGAGAAAAATTGTAGAAATTTGAAAAGAGAGTAATAAAAGTAAGTTCAAAAAATCGAACTACGAGTAGAGTAAAACGTAGGCATGCCAAAATCGCAGGATACTCATGCAGGCGGCAAACACAAAAATAAGACTCGGCGGGACTTTTGGCCACGCAACCACGAACACACAGCAGCACGTTAGAAGCTCAGTATACTGCATGGGGTGTATGGATTTGTAAAACTACAGCCAATCGCAGTCAATGAAGCGAGAAATAGAGAGAGAGATAGATGGAAAGAGGAAGAGAGCAGTGGTGGGGACGCAATAGAGAAATGGAATCAAAGGTTGAGGGAAAAAGATCCAGAGCTCTGCTGAAGTAATAAATGAAAAATCGGAAGTGAAAATGTTGCGAGGGAAAATGCAGGGAGTGCAGAGCCTGTGCGGCACCGCTGCCAACCTCACGCAAACACGGACGGGTACTGGACAGCGCAGCCAACATTCCCGCTCAAACGAAACGGAAAACAAGCTGCCTAGCGGAGGCACTTTGCGGGAAATGGAATTTCATCGCTTGAGCCAAGGAAGCTGCACAAAGCCACAAGCGTGGAGAGTAAGAAAATTTGAAATGGATAATAAAAAGAGTAGTAAAATACTACGGAATATAAAAGAGAGTAAAAATGGAGAAAAAAAAGTAAAAAGAGTTGAAAAGAGGTTTAAAAAAGTGAACATTGATGTCGGACGATGCCTGCGTCGCTGACCTGCTGCTCGGGGCTCCCTGTACACTGCAGCACTGTTACTCTGTACACAGACTGTGCTCACACAACACCATCAAGCTGCCGCGGCGAGGCCCGCCACTGCCAAGGGCTGAACGACGAGCGAGAGCTGAAAATGACGTCACTCCAGTGCTGCCACACAAGTAGGCCGAAATTCCCACGGTAGTGTCGAAAGGGTTGCCACCCTCAACCTGCACGGTAAAAACGTGGCCCGGTTTTTCCAGGGAGCCTCTGGTAAAGACATAGGCGATTTCCAGGGAGTTTCTGGGAAAACCAGGAACCGTTTTTACCGTGTGAGGCAACTTCTCAATGGCTAGGTATTGCCTTGTGGGCAGGCTGAGGTGGGCAACCTTGAGCAACCTTGAGCGAAAGTGAGTTAGTTGGCAGCACTGTGCAGTGACGGACCACGAACGCGGCCTACGCGGCCCGAAGGCCCAAGGCGCAAGGCCCAAGGCCGAAGCCAAGCGAAGCCCTTCCGAACCTACAGGCTAATCCTCCAGCGGCCTTGCCGCAACAACAACAACATCAATCGCTCGGCAGGCCCATGCAGAAAGCGTCCATTCGCAATGCCCGCTCCGGGGGCAAGCCGGCCAAACCAGGCGGGTCACAGTGGGCCAGAAGACCGGTGGAGGCGGCCAAAACTCCAGACGCGTTTCGAGCTACAGAGTCGCTGAACAAGACTCAAACCGAACGTGTGACCCCACCAATGGATTCCTCGTTCGGAGAGCAATCCATTGGTGGGGTCACACGTTCGGTTCGACTCCCATTTAGCGACTCTGGAGCTCAAAACGCGTCTGGAGTTTTGGCCGCCTCCACCGGTCTTCTGGCAAATCCACTGTGCGGGTCGGCTAGTCGGCGCGCAGCGCAGGCCTCAGCTACAGCGACAAGCAGGCCGCGTCAACGTCACGAGGGCGGTGGACAGCCCGGCGGGGCCTGGAGCGCGGCAAGGCCGGCAAGCAAGGGGCGCCTCGCCAACGCAGTGCGTCCCTTTCGCGGTTCATCTCAGCAGGGGGTATCTCCAGCCTGTCGCCGCGCGGCGTACTCCCACAGGGCCCCTCGCGCGCGGAGTATCTCCGCCCTTGCCGCCTTGGCGCGCCTCGCGCCGCCCCGCCGCCCCGCCGCCCCCAAGCTCTGCCGACTGGTTCCCAGCGTCGTTGCCGTCGCGCTGTGTCTCTCGCAACGAGTGCTGGAGAGACAGAGCGACGGGAACGACTCTCGGGATGAGTCTGCTGGACGCTAAGCGGCGGAACTACTTGTAGTGCACTACACAGGTTGAGTCTCATACTTCCGCGGCCTTCCCCGGGACAGGTGTCGCCGCTTGACGAACTCCGCGTCGTCCACCATCCAAAACGACCCAAAGTCGTCCTCATAGCGCACGAAACACTTGTGCAGCGACAAGTTCGTTCGGATCGCGTTCTAAACAACAACAAAGCCGTCAACGGGGGTCCGGCGGCAGTGCGGCCGCCCAGTGGGCTCAGCGTCCATCGCTGCGAAGAGGGGTCTCTCCTCGTGCACGGGGGGCTTGAAGATCGGCGCCGGTGGCCAGAACTCTAGACGCGTTTTGAGCTCCAGAGTGGCTTAACAGGACTCGAACCGAACGTGTGACCCCACCAATGGACTCCTCGTTCGGAGAGCAATCCATTGGTGGGGTCACACGTTCGGCTCGAGTCCTGTTTAGCGACTCTGGAGCTCAAAACGCGTCTGGAGTTTTGGCCGCCTCCACCGGTCTTCTGGCCCACTGTGCGTCGACGGCATCATGTCAGTGCCAGCGACGGACGCGTTAGCAATGCCTGAGTCCCGCACGCATCCGATGGACGCTCCCAGGAGGGTCCACCCAGGTGGGTTGACACCCCAGTGCCGCCTTGGACCCCCGGCAACAAACCGAGTCCGCAGACCCAGGACGTCCCACGATGCAGCGCCCTGTGAGGGAGAGAGAGAGAAGGTTGCCGAGCGCATGCTGCCCGCGTTAGTAGTGAGAGAGAAAAAAGAGAGGCAAGCGAGGAATAAAAGATGTAAAAAAGAGAAGTAAGAAAAAAAATGGTCACAAAGTGGTTCTCAAGAAAACACCACACAGCACACACACCACATGGTACCACACACCACACACCCCACACCCACACCAGAGAAGAGTAAAAGAGAGTCAAAAATAGAGTATAAAAGAGGTAAAAATGGATATATATGTATAAAACGGTAGATAAGGAGGAAGAAAAAAAGAGGGGGAACATGGGCGACCTGGGCGACCTACCCTGAAGCACACCTCTGGGGCCTCCGTTTGTAAAACTCGACCTCATCCACAGTCCAGACGGCTCCCTTCACATTCTCCACGCGCATGAAACACTTGTGGAGTGACAAGTTGTGTCTGACGGCGTTCTAGCGGGGCACACAGAAACAGAGTCAGCCCTCGGCCCGCCAGAAGACAAGCAACGGGCAAGCTCGCAACATTCGACAACATTTTTTTTAAACATAACTAAGGGTTTTATTTATTTTGGTAAAATTTCACGACAAGGGGAATTTTCTACTGCTTTCGCAACGCAAGGCTGTTCAGGCCAGCAGAGGCGAGAAAATAAGCTTATCTAACAGGTGCATGCTTTCGGTCGCGACAGTGAACCAATTCGAGGCAAGGGGAAACTGCGAATTTCGGTGTCCAAATCGAATGAATTTCAGTCGAATCTCAATAAATTTCAGACAAAATTCGATGTATTTCAGTCGAATTTTGACGACCTTTAGTCGAATTTCGATGAATTTTCATAACTTCAGTGAATTTTACATGTTTGATGAATTTCGGTGTACAGATTTGGCTGGAGTTAATGCTCCTTGATTCAAGGCATCACGCACAATCGGAACAAAGGGTCTCTTAAAATGGTAGAAATACTAAGAATTGGTTCACTGCCATGAGTGATTATTTAAAAATGACTTTCAGCGATCGAGGACGTACCTGTAAAAGACAAGAAACATGTAACACTTGCACAAAGGTGTCTCACTAAAACGGGCGGAGCTGGGGTCTTCTGAATGTTTAGATGTTTCCAGTAGTTTTCGTCTTTCCAAATATCTAAATACCCCCTCCTGTTACCCCTGTGGCCTGACAAAGAAAAACAAATCCATCTAAAACGCATGGCCAGGCGCAAGAGATATATTTTTTTAAACACAGGCGGATTCTGCACCCCGCTGTTTCTCCTTTCCAGCAGTATTACTTCAAGCGGGCCGAAAAAGCAATTCAAGAGAGAAAGGTAAAACCAAACACGGATATGGTAATGACGAACGGAGCCGATGCAGCGGGCGCGGCGGGGTGGGGCGGGGCGCGGCGAGGCGGGTGGCGGGGCGCGGCGGGGTGGGGCGGGGCGCGGCGAGGTGGGGTGGGGCGGGGCGCGGCGAGGTGGGGTGGGGCGGGTTATAAGTTCGGCTGCACATACATATGACGCGACGAGCTGGGCTATAACGGCCCGATTCACACGTCGGCGCGGCGGCGCGGCACATGGGGCTCTGCCTGTCTCTCTCGCTCCCTCCAGCGCGGCGCGCGGGGCTGTGTCTCCCTCTCTCTCACTACCGCAGCCCTCGCCCGCCACCTCTTCTTCCGGAGAGAAGGGAGTCGAACTGACGGGCTTCGCGCAGACAAGGAAATTGGCATTGGAAATTAAAGGGAAGAAGAAAAAAAAGCCTCCGCCACTGGCAAGGTGAGGCCCTGGCGGAGGCGGTGCACTGTGAAAAAGAGGTGGAGGCGGCCGAAACTCTAGACGCGTTTTGAGCTCCAGAGTCGCTAAATGGGACTCGAACCGAACGTGTGACCCCACCAATGGATTGCTCTCCGAACGAGGAATCCATTGGTGGGGTCACACGTTCGGTTCGAGTCCCATTTAGCGACTCTGGAGCTCAAAACGCGTCCGGGATTTCGGCCGCCTCCGCCGGTCTCCTAGCCCACTCGGTCATTTTTGGCAGTGGCGGGTAATACCTCCGCAATCCATACCCACCCATGGCAAGGAAAACAACGGCCCTGAAAGGGGCGATGAATACTTGACGAACACAACGCATCCAACACAAAACAAAGAGCGGTATAAAAATTAAAAGGCATCGCCCGGTCCGGGCCGGCCCGGGCGCGCTCGCGTTAGAAAAGGTCGGAAAAACGAAACAACAGAACGCGTTTTGTGCAACGCCACGCCGGCCACGCTGTTCGCCCGGAACAAGAGAATTTCGGTCGGAATGCGTGGCAACGCGCGGCAACGCGCGGCAGCGCACTGTGAAGATGAAAAGAAGCGAAATTTGGCGAATGCTTGATGAAGGCGCGGTCAGTGGCGCGCCCTGGCGGCGGAACGGCCAAGAAACGGCGGGAAAAACAAATGAATGAAAATGGCGCGGTTTCAACAGAGTGATCGCTTTTCTCCCGACAAACGGCGAAACAGAGAAACCGCCAGGAATAAACAAAAGACGGCCGTGAAATAATAACAAGAGAGAGAGAGAGAGAGAGAGAGAGAGAGAGAGAGAGAGAGAGAGAGAGAGAGAGAGAGAGAGAGAGAGAGCGGCGATATTTACCAAACACTAACAGGGAGGGCGAGACAGAGACAGGCTACCTAAAACCGGGATAACAACGGCGAGGGATAGAAATAGTAGGAAAATAAAAAGAAAAGGATGGCGATTTAATTTGAGGACACCCTGCCTCCAGACGGCTCACCGTACATTATTCATAGCAATTTGCATATATATTAAGTTAGTGTGATTCCCTGGGTAAATAGCTCATGTTTGCGACGCGGCGTGTCAATACGCCGCCTCAGCAAAAGTCTAATCCCGGCCGGGAGTCGAACCCGCGCCTCGAGGTGTCTCTTTCATTACGGGGGGCCAATGAGTCATCGCTCTGGTTTCGAAGTCGCCGACAACTTTGCTATGACGGAGCAAAATCGCGTCACTCGGCTCCTCGGATAGGTTGAGGTGGTTCGTTCTTTTTTCAAATTTGCCTTAAAAAATTTTTTTTTTGCTTTAACTTTTTAAAATTTATAAATGGTCCCTGGGACGAAAAACAATGTTTTTCTTTTCTTTAACTTTTTTAAAAAATTAACAAATGGTTCCCAAGACGAAAATCAATTATTTTTTTCGCTTCGTCTTTATTTAAAAAATACGGATAGTCCCTCTTGGGACGCCAATTTTCATCTTTTTTTTTAAATTTACGGATGGTCCCTAAAACGCCAATTTTCATCTTTTTTAAATTTACGGATGGTCCCTGCGACGCCAATTTCACGGTGTAGCGACGAGGGTGGCGGCCAAACGGCCAAAACAAGAGAACGGGCGCGACTTCCGGAAGTCGAAGCGCAGCCGGGCACAGCAGCCGGGCAGGGCGGCAGGGCCAGGCAGGGCCGCCAACCGGAATGGACGGGTGTCGCGCCCAAGTGATGGCCGATTCATCCCCGGAACCGTTTTACGGTTATTACGGGAATTGGCAGCACTGATGGAAGATAGTCCACCTCCTCCTCCTCCTAGAGAGAGAGAGAGAGAGAGAGGGAGAGGGAGAGAGAGAGAGAGAGAGAGAGAGAGAGAGGAGAGAGAAGAGAGAGAGAGAGAGAGGCAAGGACAGTGCCTTCCCGCCGAACGCGTCCTCCCTCGGCCCTAACGCGATCAGTTCGACATAATAAAGAAAACTTTTGACATTCAGTGCCCGGCTGGGCCGGGCAGGGCTTGCCGTTGCCTCCAGGGGGGCCACTACTCCAGCGTGATTTCAGTGCGGTCAAGAAGTAAACAAAGACAGTGCGACGAAAAAAAAATGCTGTACTTATTTTTTTTCGAAGTAGTGCGTATTTAAGGCAAAGGAGCGTAAACCGCGGAGAAAGGAGGGTCCGAAAAAAAAGTTGCAGTCTAAGGCGGATGGTTGTACAAACGTGGAGCAAAGAAGAGAAGTCGTCAGCAAGAACGAGGCATAAGTTGGCAAGGAAACGAGAGAGAGAGAGAGAGAGAGAGAGAGAGAGAGAGAGAGAGAGAGAGAGAGAGAGAGAGAGAGAGAGAGTAGCGAGAGGAAAAAGAGGCCAAACAGTAGGGCAAAGAATAAAAAGAAACACGCGGACTATGACGATAAGAGGGTTGTTTGCATGAAGAAGGAAGGAGAGAGGGTATGTGTGGTTGTTGAAGAAGAGGGAGAGGGAGAGCGAGAGCGGGAGAGCGGGAGAGAGAGAGAGAGAGAGAGAGAGAGAGAGAGAGAGAAGAGAGAGGTGGCCACGGCCATGTGGAGAGCGCGGTAAGACGGCCTCATCGCTGGGCTTATCCGAGAGAGAGAGAGTGCTGCGGTTCCTGCAGTGCGAGAGAGAGAGAGAGAGAGAGAGAGAGAGAGAGAGAGAGAGAGAGAGAGAGAAGGGGCAGGCAGTCCGGCGGGCGACCCCGCGCTGGCCCCGCTCCACCCTAGGGCCGCTCCGCCGCTCCGCCCTCGGGTGCCTATTAGCACCATTTAAAGGGCGGAGGGTCCTCGGAAAAAGCGGACGACAGGAAGGGCAGCCCAGCGTCCAGCCCACATATTCTGCGGCTGTTTATCTGGTCTTAGTGGCCGGGGCGCCGCGCCGAGGGAAGATAGCTGCGAATAACGCCGTCCCTCTTAATGTATTCGCAGGACGAACACGTGCTGACCAGCGCCCCTGTCTCTCTCGCACTCGAGGGTCGCTCCGCAGGGGGCGCGAGGGAGACACACTGCTCTCTGGAAACGGTTCCGCAGTGAGCGATGCTGCTGGCCAGGCCCCTTACGACCGGCGGGTAGGCAACCCGGGGACGCGGCTGCCGACGGGAGTGCCTACCCGCCGGGCGCTAGCCGCACAGTGGGCGGAGGCGGACGAAACTCCAGACGCGTTTTGAGCTCCAGAGTCGCTAAATGGGACTCGAACCGAACGTGTGACCCCACCGAGGGGGAAATCACTCTTAAAAACTGTGACCCGACTAATCCCAATTACGTTCTATTACGCTATTACAGAAGGCTTATTACGCTCGAAAATATCCAGATTTAGGCTAAAATCGGACCCAAAAAAGGGAAATTTTTTAAAAATTTGTCTATTACGCTATTACTATTACGCGTAATACTAGGAATCGGTGACCCGACTATTACGCGAGTGATTTCCCCCTCGGACCCCACCAATGGATTGCTCTCAGAACGAGGAATCCATTGGTGCGGTCACACGTTCGATTCGAGGCCCTTTAGGCGACCCTGGAGCTCAAAACGCGTCTGAAGCTCTGTCCGCCTCCACCGGTCTTGTGGCCCACTGCGAGCCGTCGTCGGGCTGGGGGGTTTTCGGCTTTTCGTCGCCCTGGCGGTACTCGAACCCGGGCCCGCTCGAGCAAGCCGTTAACAGCAAGGCGCGGCCAAGCCACTGTGAAATAATCGCGCTGCCCGGACATGATAAGGCTGCAAGTGGTCAGCAAGATTACCCGGGCCGACCCTAATTTTCATTTCATTTTATGTTCGCGCTCCGCCCGCTTCGCACCCGGCAAAAAGCTCGGCGGCGGTCTGCCTCGGGCCTGCCTGCGAGGAGGGTGCGGCAGGCCTGGGCGCGGTACCTAAACACTGCGATTAGTATAAGTGAGGCCGAGATCTGCGGCACCAACGCCCCGAACCCATCCAGTGCCCAGCCACCCTGCCTAGCCACTACACCGGCAAAAGTGGACCAAAAAAGCTCTCCAAGTAGATTGACTGTCGGAATTTTCAAAAATATCTTTTTTTACGAGAAGTTTTTTCGCAAACGGTTTTTTGTAGGCCCTTTTTTTCTGCTTTAATAATTCGGCTGAGTTTTCCCCGACCCCCGGCCCTGCCTTGCCCAGTCGACCTTGACGCCACATGGGCTGCGTCGCCCGGCGTCGCCGCGTCTCGGCGCAGACTCTGTCTCTCTCGCACTCGTGGCCCCATGGGGCCCGCCGCATGAGTGCGAGAGAGACAGAGAGAGAAGCAGCCTGCTGGGGCGGCAGGCGCGACCCGACGGAAGTTGATTGGAAGTAACCCTGCATTAATCAATGCATCGGGGGAGGGAGGGGGAGGCCCTTCTTGGAGACCTGCGGAAAATGACGAACAGAGAGAAAGAAGGCAAGCTGCGGCTTAAACATCAACTTTGGCAACTCATTGCCATCGCTCTAGACGCGAGGTCGCACCGCTGAGGGAGGTCGGGGAATGCGGGAATGTTCTCCAAGTTTCCAGTCCCCGCGGCTTTCCTATTTTTGAGTAAAATTTAAATGGATCAGGCTGTGCTGACCTCCAAGGACACACAAAGTTGTCTCATTCCCCACTCCGCCCGTCCGTCCTGGAAGTCCTGGAGGTCCTGGAAGTCCTGGGAAGGGCTCGGCTTCCTCAAGGGCAGCGTGGTCAAGGTACCAACAGACTTACAGGCGTTACCAACGGTACCAACTTACAACGAGATTGCAAGACAGTCATCTGGAGCCTGCGACGCAGCGCGGCTACCTGGAAGGAGAGTCGGCGCGCTCCCAGGCGCACAGTGGGCCAGAAGGCCGGTAGAGGCGGACAAACCTCCAGACGCGTTTTGAGCTCCAGAGTCACTAAACAGGCCTCGAACCGAGCGTGTGACCCCACCAATGGATTCCTCGTTCGGAGAGCAATCCATTGGTGGGGTCAGACGTTCGGTTAGAGTACCATTTCGCGACTCTTGAGCTCAAAACGCGTCTCGAGTTTTGTCCGTCTCCACCGGCCTTCTGGCCCACTGTGAGGCGGCGACTCGGCACTCAGCACTTCGAGATCTCGAAAAAAAAAAAGAAAAAAAGAGGACTGTGGGGAGGGGTTTCAAGAAAGTACCTTGACCACGCTGACCATATTCAATCGATTAAGCAATGGGGAAACACCAAGCTAGTGTGTTTGCTCCGAAATAAATTTAACTTTTTTTTTTGTTTTCTGCCGTTTTTTTAAGTTTGGGACACTGGCTTGGTGCTTCGCGTGCTTCGTCGCTACCGGTCCATGCAGGCATGCATCGCGGCGCCTGGGAGCGCTCCACCCTCGACTCACCTTCCAGGTGGCTGCGTTGCGCCGGAAGTAGCAGAAGGTGTTCTGGAACCAGTTGTAGATCTCGTTCAGCGTCAGCTGCTTGTCCGGCGACTCGATGATGGCCTGCCAACACAACAGCAGGGTTAGCAACTTCAAGAAAATCAAAATCAATTTAAAAAAAAACTACTTTAAAAATATTTTCAAAAAAATGTAAACTACAACAGGAACACCCAGAAAAATAGTCTCTTGATTTATGATTTTCTTGGTTTTTGTAAAAAATAATCTTGACAAGAAAAATTTTCTTCAATCAAGAAGAAAAATGGACTAAGAAAAAAATTTCTTGCAAAAACCAAGAAAAGTTTAATTTTTCTTGATCCAAGAAGTTATTATTTTTGGTTGAACAGTGGGGTTAGTTTCAGTTACAGAAATCGCTCCAAAATTAACTTTCATCCCGACTACTTTCGTCCCTTCGCTCTGCCGGCACTTGGTCGAATTGGTCACGCCAACGACACGAACTTGGAGGTTCGAAGGCAGTATCTGCGCCGCGCTGCCCTGACTCGTCAACTTGCCCCCATTTCCATCCAGGGAGGATTGACAGCGAGGGGGAAGCCCCATCCCCAAAGCCGCCACCGCCACCCCAACCCCTTCCTCTTTCTGTTTATCTTACTTCTTCGGACAAATACCGCGTGCGTGTTTGTGTTGTGTACGCGTAAACAAAGACACACACACACACACACACACGGCCGTCCCGTTTCCCCGAGTGTGTCCCAATATATTGTCCCGGCCCGTGCTGATCTGTTGCAGCGGGGGGGGGGGGGGGGGGGGGGGACGGCGTGGCGTCCGCCGCCTCAACGTCACCAAGCCGCCGCGTCGCGCGAGGAGGTCCACAGGATTTGTGGCCGGCGAGATAGAGGCTCTGTCTCTGTCGCACCCGCGGCGGCACGCGGGAGGGAGAGACTGCAGGTGAACCGGGTTCGACACTCCCATTCATAAGACGTCGCTGATCCCCGCGGATCCGTCGCCGTGTCCGCACTCCGCCTTCAGCCTTGACAAATTCGTGAGGAAGAGGAGGGGAGGAGGCGTCGAGGGAGGGGCGCACAGTGGGCCAGAAGACCGGTGGAGGCGGCCGAAACTCGAGACGCGTTTTGAGCTCCAGAGTCGCTAAGTGGGACTCGAAGCGAACGTGTGACCCCACCAATGGATTGCTCGTCAAACGAGGAATCCATTGGTGGGGTCACACGTTATGTTCGAGTCCTGTTTGGCGACTCTGGAGCTCAAAACGCCTCTGGAGTTTTGGCCGCCTGCACCGGTCTTCTAGCCCACTGTAGGGGGTGGGGGAGGCATTCAAAAAGACAAAAAAATCGAAAAAAAAAAAGGTTGAAAATGCGCTAGTTGTGGGTGAGTCGACGAATGAGACTTGATTTTTTTCGGCGCGACCTTCGCCCCGAGTGCCAAAAGCCCGTAATGCAACCTGATTAGCATAAGGAGGCTCATTTCACGGCTATGATTAGCAGCAAACTTCCGCCATGAATCTAATTAAAAGCGTTCGATTCGCGGCCGCGGCGGGGCCCGGCCGGCCGGGGCCTGGCGTGGAATACAGAGTACAGACGCGACTGGCGGACACACCGGAAAACGGGAAGAAAAGAAGGAGGAGGATTGCGAGAGAGGAGCCGCACGCACAAAGGCGGCCGAACAATCAAATATTACGCCGAATACTGAATGAGAGGGGCCTGGCCCGGGCCTGGCCAGTCGCCTTGTCTCTCTCGCACTCGCGGGACAGGCCGCGCCGCGCTGCGGTACGCCACGCACCACCTGCCTCCCCTCCTCCAGGCACGGCACTGCCACGCCACTGCCACGGCCCCGGCCGCACCCCACTGGTGTCAACACCCATAAAGTTTGATTTAGTGGTCCATACAGTGGGGGCATAATGACCACTGGAATAAAAAGGAAGGCGGTGCGCATCTTGAGGATGCACTGCCGCCTCTCTCTCTCTCTCTCTCTCTCTCTCTCTCTCTCTCTCTCTCTCTCTCTCTCTCTCTTCTCTCTTCTCTCTCTCTCTCTCTCTCTCTCCTCTCTCTCTCCTCTCTCTCTCTCTCCCATTTTCAAAATAACGGAGACGGGAGACAAGAATTCCGGTTTTGTCCCATGCAGCAGGTACCACTACACCAATAAGGAAAAATTCTTGTTTTGTGCTAAATTTTTTTAAGTTTTTTTTTTAACGGACGCCCTCTGACTGATGAAGGCAGCAGGGCACGGCAGGGCCGCCACCCTAACCAAACAACACTCGCAGAGACTGCGTTTAATTTTCCCGCGGGACTCGGGCACACCGCAAGCAGGGCTGCCACCTTGTTTTATTTTTTCGCCTTTTCCGCGTTTTTTTCGCCTCCTCGGCCGGCAGCCCTCTTCACGCATTCTTATTACGTCCTCCGGTCGTGGGAGAGGGGCGAGGCCAAGAGGTCGCGTCGTTCCGGACGCCGCCGGAACGAGTGGGGAACTACCCCGGGCGCACAGTGGGCCAGAAGACCGCTGGAGGCGGCCAAAACTCTAGACGCGTTTTGAGCTCCAGAGTCGCTAAACAGGACTCGAACCGAACGTGTGACCCTACCAATGGATCCCTCGTTCGGAGAGCAATCCATTGGTGGGGTCACACGCTCGGTTCGAGTCCCATTTAGCGACTCTGGAGATCAAAACGCGTCTGGAGTTTTGGCCGCCTCCACCGGTCTTCTGGCCCACTGTGGGGCGTTCCCCGCAGCGCGCTGACGCGACGGGGGATGCAAAACACTTTATCGTTGGGGCTGCACTAACGCCCCGCCCCGTCTCCGGCCGGTCAGCCGTCCTGAGTTATAGCGCGCCTTAAAAAAAAGCGCCCGGCAACAGATATGTCGCGACGCTGTATGCGTCTTCCGGCCGCCGTCCGGCCGCCCCGGTTCCACTTCCGGTTCCGGCCGAGGCTGGGGTCCTCTCCGGGTCCGACGGAGCGCGTCTCGCCGGACGCGATAAGACGACGGACAAAGAAATAAAGCGGTGTTACGGGCTGCCTTCACCTAAGTGGGTCTGGCGCGGCATTCAAAAAGCCACATCACATGCACGAAGAAGAAAAAAAAGAGTGGTGTTTGAACCCGCAGCTCCGAGCGCGGCGATAGCGTAGCCTTTGCGAGCTCGGCCGCAGATTGTTGTTTATCAATTTGGCCGCGAGGGGCGCCTCGCCTCGATCCGCCGGGGCGCGAACCGCCGAACCACCGCTCGCTGGGCGGCCGCTGTGTAAAGCTAAACCTAGTCTGCATTGCAAATTCTGTTTTCGGCCGAAAGACGAAGGAAGGCGCGGCCAGACGATTCACCTCTGGCTTTTCTCTGTCGCTCAGCGGGTAAACACGAAAAGGAAAAGTCGGGGAAAATCGTGGTATTCGAACCCGTGACCGACAGGAGGCGTGGGCGTGCCTAAGACGCGCAGGCCAAACTGACGAGTCGCTCCTATTTTCGCAAGGCTGCCAACCAAACCCCCTCCGCGAGCTTATATCGCGAGTAAATATTTTGTCGCGGGGCCGCACCGCACAGTGGGCCAGAAGACCGGCGGAGGGGGCCGAAACTCCAGACGCGTTTTGAGCTCCAAAGCCGCTAAATGGGACTCTAACCGAACGTGTGACCCCACCAATGGATTGCTCTCCGGACGAGGAATCCATTGGTGGGGTCACACGTTCGGTTCGAGTCCCGCTTTGCGACTCTGGAGCTCAAAACGCGTCTGGAGTTTTGGCCGCCCCGCCGGTCTTCCGGCCCACCGTGCGGGGTGGGCCACCCTGTTTGTGCTCTGCGTTATGAAGTTGTGTTCATTTGACGGCGCTACTCTCGGGGAGTGCGAGGGAGCGCGCTGTCCGACTTTCCGAGACGCGGAGCGAGATCGAGAGAGATAGCGGCGGGCCGGCAAACTAGCGGCGGAGAGCGACCCGCACAGCTCGGGGAGGATCAGTTGCTTTCGCGGAGGGAGCGCAGCGCGCAGAAAGTAGTGTAGCTCCCAAGTCCTCCCCGACCCAGAACCCAGAAAAAAATTTACCTAAACTCCGTATTGTAACTAATCAATTTTAAGATTTTAATTTAATTTAAATTTTTTCAAACAGAACACGGTGTTCTTTCCGCTTACCTGTCGGATGAGCGACGCGTAGGTGAAGGGCGGGCGAACGTCCGCGTTCTTGTAGAACTCCCGGTTCCGCTGGATCTCTGCAACAACAGCACGGACACGCCGTTAGAGACAGCGACTGCAGTCGCACAGTGGGCCAGAAGAACCTAAGCTCGCCATTTTCTCTTTTTTTCTTTTTTGATAGTGCATTTACAAGGGTGCGAACTCGGGCCGGCGGGGGAGAGAAAGGAGAGAGAGAGACTGCCTACCTTGCTGCACGTCCAGGCCCGCTCTCTCCAGCATGTAGGGCAGACCTTGAGAGAGAGGGAGACAGAGAGATGGTTAGAGCAGGCAGGTTTGGTTAGACAAGGACAGGGAGCACAGCAAGGTCATTCCAAAAACAGACAATAAATTTCCTGTTTTTCGAAAACAACATACGACAAAATGTAACGCGCTGTGGTTTTAGGTTGACACAATTGGTTAGAAAAGGAGCTGAACTGAGAGCGGAGGTTGTTAGAAAGGCATCCTGAGAGAGAGAGAGAGAGAGAGAGAGAGAGAGAGAGAGAGAGAGAGAGAGAGAGAGAGAGAGAGAGAGAGAGAGAGAGAGAGAGAGAGAGAGAGAGAGAGAGAGACCTTGTCAACACGTATTGTATCGCGAGGCGATTAAACGCAGCAATACGAACCGCAAGGCCAGGGGTGGAAAAAAAAATGCGGAAAAAAAAATTGGCGGTGCGGTGTAGGGGAACCACAGGAAGTCATTCCCCGTCTCCTTCTTTTTTCCCCCTGACGGCGTGCCGCGTGCCGCGTCAGCAGCATTGGCGACAAGACGAGGTCCAGCAGTCGGACCAGAGGCCGTTGCACGTCTTTCGCGGAGTAAAAAGCAACACCGTGTTGCGAAACGCTTTTTACTTGGGCTGTACCGGCGCGGCGCGGCCGTGTCATCTGCAGTAAAGCTGCGCCTCACCTCCGCTCAGAGAGAGCGCGCACTTGTCCGAGAGGCGGCGGCGCAGCGGCCCGGAGTTGGGGGCGGGCGGGCCGTGGGGGCCGTGGGGGCCGTGGGGGCCCTGCCCGTGGGGCGGCTTGGCGGGGGCGTGGCCCAGGGGCCCCAGCACCAGTCCCGGCGGCAGCGGCAGTGGCGGCAGCGGGGGCGGCGGCGGCGGCGACAGCGGCAACTGTGGACAGGTCCGGGTTCAAGTCCCACCACCGCTAGCTTTTTCATTTTTTTTTAAACAAATGAGTTGTTACCGAGGCCGGCTCCTGCTTGGGCGAGCCCTGGCCCGGCGACCCGGACCCGTTGCTGTGGTGGTTGTTGTTGTTGCTGCTGCTGTTGTTGTTGTTGTTGTTGAGCTGCGCCTGCAGGTGGTCGTGGTAGGCCTGCTGCTTGGACAGGTGCAGGTGCAGCATCATGGCCTGCAGGCGGTCGCGCTCCCGCAGCAGCTGCAGCTCGAGCTGCGACACCACCTGCATCTGCACGCGCGCCTGCGCCGTCGACCGGTCGTCCAGGGCGTGCTCCAGCGCCAGGTGCCTGCAACAATGTCAAAAGCGCGTCAAAACGGGAGCTCTTTTTAAAGGTTAAACCTTTACAAAAATTTTAACTGGTTCTAAAATTTGAAACCTTTTTAAAATTTGAAACCTTTTAAAAATTTGAAACCTTTTTAAAATTTGAAACCTTTTTAAAATTTTAAAACCTTTTTAAAATTCAAAACCTTTTCAAATTTTGTAACTTTTTTAAAAGTTTGTAACATTTAAAAAAATCCTTTAGATACGTTTTTTCTAAAACTGTCACTTTAAAAAAAATGTTACCCCTTTTTAGATTGTAGCTTTTCAAAAAAAAAATGTCTGGAAAGGGGCCGCAGCAGCAAGGACAAACCCTTTTGCCAGCCGGCTGGGCCGCCATTCTAATTACATTCAAGTTAAAGTTGGCGCGTAAACAGTGCTGCCAACATGGGCATCACCGCGGAGCGACGCGGCGCAACGCGAAGCGGCAGCGTTTCGCCCGTGGCTATTATGTTGTAAGCACACCGCGACGCACTCGTTACAAACTTCGCAAATGGCTCCTTAACTTTTTAAACTGTTAATGGCCATAAGGCGATATCGCGTTGCTGTGGCGCCATCTTGTGGCGAGGGACCAAGCAGAGCCAAGCAGAGCACAGTGGGCCAGAAGACCCGCCGAAACTCTTGACGCGTTTCGAGATCGTCGCTAAACAAGAGTCGAAACTAACGCGTGACCCCATCAATGGATTTCTCTCCGAACGAGGAATCTGTTAGTGGGGTCACACGTTCGGTCCCACATAAAAGCGAAATGTTCCGAAACTTGGTCGAAATCGGTCCGAATCAGTCCGAACACCCTCGGACTGTTCCATAGAGCGCCCGAGACCAGGTCGGATGCCCCAAACGGGGGCCCCCCGTCCCGGTCCCTGGGCCCTGCCCGTGTGCCCGATCAGATGTTTGCTTGCCATGGGAAAACTGCCCGTATGGAGCCCGTAACCCTATCCCGAAAGCGCCTTTGTCCGGGGGGGAGAGGAGCGAACCCGGGAGAGTGGCAAACTGCCCTGCCGGTGAGGCATCGATAAAAGCCCGCTGGCCCGGGCCGGTCGGAGGCGCTCTCTGATTGGTTCGGCCGGGAGGGGAGCCTTAATCCTTCGGCAACCCTCGGAAAGTTTGGCCGCCTCGGCACGCAAAACGTCAGTCTCCAGCTGCCCTCCAAGGTGCACGCATCGCGTTTGCCTGCGTCAGAGTCCACTCGCTCGGCGCGCTGAAGCCATGTCGCCTCCGCGCGCTGCAGCCTTGCGCAGCCTTGTGCTGGGAACGAGCCAGTTGGACGGAAAGAAGTGTGTTTTAGTTTGAAATTTTTTTTGCTGATGACCGTTTAGGACGCTAGTGACTCTACGCTTGCTGTTCTGTGTGCATCTCCCAACACTAAAGGGACGGGCAGTGCGAGGGCGAGAGGTGTATCATTTAATTCGCCTTTCCCCGTGCACTCTCGTCCCCAAAGTGCTTTCCATCGGAAATTATTTTTATCCTACATATCAACTATTTGATTACTATCGTAAGTTCAAATCCGGTGCCAAGTTTGCCTGCCACAAAAGTGGCACGTCGTTTTGAATGCTAAACATTGGCAAGCCCTGACCTGAAATCTTCCAGTTTGCCCAAACTTAGCGCTTCGGCCGCCAGCAATGCCCAAATTTAGCGAACTCGGAAGTATTTCAGGTCCAGGCTTGCCAATTTTCAACATTCAAAACGGCTTGCCAAGTGCACCGGCTTTGCAGTGTTGCCTGCACTGCACTTGCAGACGGAGGGGAGGGGATTCCGAAGGGAGGAGAGGGGTTTCGGGAGGGAGGGGAAGGGTGGGGGGCGGCGGGGGGCAGCCCGGCAGCCCGCCTTGCTCGCCGGCCTTGCTTCGGGCTAGTCCGAAAAGAGTCCGAATCTAGTCGTCGGACAACACCCGAAACCTTGCCGGATTTCTAACATTCTGGATGTCAGCCGGACCAGTCCGGTGGAACCGTTTTCGGACATAGCCCCCGCTCGGGCTGTTTTGGGAGCCTTTCTTTTTCATATGGGTCCTACTCCTCCAGAGTCCTACTTAGCGACTCTGGAGCTCAAGAGGCGTCTAGAGTTTCGGCCGCCCCCACCGGTCTTCTGGCCCACTGTGCGCTGCCCCATCCTCGGCGAATCCCCCTTAATAAGCAACCCACCTGTCTTGGGATCGCCCCAAGGAGGCCCTGCTCTGCTCCCCTTCTGTTTGTTCCATTAATTGTTAGACACAATGTCGGCGTGTTTGCGCTCGGGCACTGATTGCTGGCCGAAGTAGACCGAACGGGGTAAAAATCCCGAGATAATAGAGTCAGGACCAATAACAACCAAACACCGAGAACGCGCCCTTTGTGCTATCAATTGGGAAGGGAGAGGGCGAAACCGGAAAAAGAGTGGCAAAAAAAAACCGGTTGAAAAAACAGGAAAAAGTGATGAGACATAAATCGATTATCACAGAGCCAGCTACGGCCCCGCGGGGCCATGGGAACAGGGGGCAGTTTGTGGTGGGCGTCTCAGGACGCGCCGGTAGTCACTGACTGGCCTGCCAGCCTAAAAAAAAAAAAAAAAAGACGCCGCCGGGGGGACTCGAACCCGTGACAGACGACGCACAAGTTGGTCCGGCCGCAAGCAGTCTCGCTTTGTTTTACAACCGCTGGATCGCAATTAGGGCAGCCAAGTGATTGGGAAAGTTTGTGCCGCTGCCCTGACGACGCCTGGCCAGGCCTGGCTGCATAGCGAATGGCAGAACAGTGCGGGGCTTTCATTCGCGAACCGGAAGCCGGGAGTCACTTCCGGTCTCTGCTGCGAGTACAAGACTCTGTCCAGTCTCAAAATTAAAACTTGCAAAAAAAGATGATTAAAAAACAGGGATTCTGCAACTCTTTCCAGAGACGGCACTCATTTCCCCAAAGTGGCACTGGCTAATTTACGCCACACCATTCGTTTTCATATTCAAGAGTACAGCGCGCGGCCGTGCAACGAGAGAGAGAGAGAGAGAGAGAGAGAGAGAGAGAGAGAGAGAGAGAGAGAGAGAGAGAGAGAGAGAGAGAAGGAGGAAGTACAGGCGACGGGCCGAGAAAAATCGGCAGGGCTTCTCGTGATGAATCAGTGTGGGGTAAGTAAATCGGGGCTGCTCCCCCCTCCCCCTTCCTTTGCGGTGTCGGGGCCTCGGCCAACTAATTACTGCTAAACGTACTGACACCATGCACAGCCAGGCACAGCCAGGCACAGCCAGGCCGACCCGCGTCTTTTTTAATTACAAACGACTCGGATGCCTTGGACCCTCCGGCCATGAAAAATTGGCAATCGCAATGCAGGTCCCACCGGGTCAGGAGGAGGGGGCGGAGAGCGGGAGCGAAGAGTGCACCCATTTTTGTGCCGGAGCCAAAGATATTTTCCCAGGAAACGCCGCAATACGCGGGCCGGTGAAAAGTGTGGCACGAGAGAGGAGAATCGAGCAGAAGTTGGGGGCCGCTGGGCAACGCTCATGGATGGGCTTAGGTACGGCTTACCCGGACCAGATTTAGGCACCAAGTTTTCGCCGCTTTGTTAAGCGGAGGCCCGTCTGGACGAGATTTCACGCCAGGCAGGCACACAATCTTCCGCCATTCCTTTTTATTTTTCAATTTTCCAAAATAAAAACAATCCTTTGTATTGGTTTATATTTTGCCGGTTGCTTTTTTTTTTTAGATGCAGCGAACATCCAACATTTTTGGAAGCCCGAAACTTTGGCACGGCGAGGCTGGTCCGGACGCGGCCCGACGCCCCTGCCTTGTCTCCCCCACTGTCGCGTTGACACGTCTCGCCTCGGCCCGCGTTACGGCCGCGCGTTTTAAAAACGAACCGACAATAATCGAGTTAAAATCAAGATTCATGGCCGCCCTGCTTGCCTGCCGGCCCTCCCCGACCATTACGCTCGCCCCCAATTTTGCTTTCGATCTGCCCGTCTTCCTTTTTTTTATTTTCTGTCTTTCTTTCGGTGTCACCGCGAAGCCCCGGCAAAATAACGCAACGCGACAGACAGGAGGGAGTCAAAGGAATTAGCCGCATCCGCCTAGGTGTCCGGTCGCTTCGTCTGCGTCGCACCCACTGAGCCAGAGAGAGACAGGCGACTCACAGTGGGCCAGAAGACCGGTGGAGGCGGCCAAAACTCTAGAGGCGTTTTGAGCTCCAGAGTCGCTAAACAGGCCTCGGACCGAACGTGTGACCCCACCAATGGATTCCTCGTTCGGAGAGCAATCTATTGGTGGGGTCACACGTTCGGTTCGAGTCCCATTAGCGACTCTGGAGCTCAAAACGCGTCTAGAGTTTTGTCCGCCTCCCCCGGTCTTCTGGCCCACTGAGCGACTTGTGATTCCAAAGTGATTGGGAGTCAGGCCCTCGCTGGCTGCGCTTTTCCTTGATGATTTGCAATCCGGCCGCAGCCCCTGAACTCAATGTCCCCCCCGTAAAGAAAGAGGGAAAAAAGAGAGAAATTAGCGTTGTAAAGTTGGTGCGCGTCAGCCGGATCCGAAGTGGCCGCACTTCCCACCGTTCAAAAATAAAGGGTTGCCAACTTAAAAAAAAAAAACTTGAAATAAACATTTTTTCACGAAAAATAAAAAAGCTGATCGTTTGAGATGCTGCAGCTGATTCATTCATTCTTCGGCTGTCTCTCGGAATGAAAGTCCTCGAGAGGATGAAGGGGAGCGCTGCAGGACGCAATTAGTAGAGGTGGAAGGAGAAAAGAAATGACACTTTGGAGGGCCGCCGCGGCGCCGCGACCCGCCCGTTGACAGCAATTCGATGCGACGCCGGGGCGGGGCGGGGTGGGGCGGGGCGGGGTGGGGCGGGGCGGGGCGGGGTGGGGCGGGGCGGGGTGGGGTGGGGTGGGGCGGTAGGCAAGACAGCCGCCCGGCTTCGTTTTCAACAAGTCCATTCTGGGTTCCACGCTACCGTCAAAAGTTAGCAACTTTCAAAAAGTAGTAAGTTTTTAACAAAATCTGAAATATTACATGAGAATTTAAAAAAAAAAGGTTTTGAAAAAGTCGTCGGTAGTTGAACCGAAGGTTTTTACTTCGGTAACCAACGTCCCTACCGATTACGCCATCGCTACCTCAGGAGTTGGCAGCGCTCTCGGAATGAAGCAGGAAACAGGAAATAAAAGCTCGGCTAACTAATTGTTTCTGGCCGTTATAAATGGGCCGCGCTGATTCCGCTACAGACAGACCCTCCGAAATCTCAAAGTTCGAAAGTGTCGCGGGACAGGCCACGCCCTTAATCTGAGGCCACCATTAATTATTCCCATGAACCTCTCTCCCTCTCTTTCCCGTATTGTTATTCCCGGATAATGAAAGCGAAAGAAAGAACGTGTCCGCCGTAGTTCGGAGGGGAGGTCGCAATCGGCAAACCGCGATGAGGGCGTTTTTCTTTCGCCTTTCCCCGATCGAGGAAAGCACAACAGTTTCCGTCCGGATTTCCCTCGTGAAGACCTCATTACCCCAAGACGCGTGCCGAACAAGGAAAATAGCCCCGGAGAGAAGGAGAAAAAAAAGCTGAGAGGGCAGACGCCAAACAAAGCTATGCTGATAATTCATAATAACGACACGAGCAAAACGGCGGGGAAAATAGATGTATTTATTATAAAAAGAATGCGGGCGAGAAGTAAAATGGGCGTCGTCCATCAATGGGACACTCTGGGAGGACGCGGCGCCACCCCACTGCGGAACTCCGGAAGGCGAGGCCACGGTGCTTTTTCGTGTGTTTCGTTTCAAGCCTGCGTTTCGACTTCACCTTGACGCCACCACCGACAGTGTTCGAAATCCGTTCAAAGTTAAAAGTAACCCTCAGGGGGTAGAGGTGTTTAACAGTGTCTTCTGACAGTTTAGGTCATCTCCGATCTCCGACTGGAGAGCTTCGAGACGCTCGGGACATCGGTCCCCTGCAAGCGTCAGCATAGGCAGTCCGCTACCCACCGCTGTGGCGCGAACGCGCGCGCGCGCACACACACACACACACACACACACTTCACACACGCTCGCTCGCATGTCCAGGCATCGCGATGGCCTTGAACTCCGGCGGGGCGCCGCCCCAAGCCGCCCCCAGGCGTGGTTCCGCCCCCCGGTGGGAGTGACGCGACGGCCGGGCCGCCCCCACAACAAAAACAACAACAGCACATCAAGGCTTGTTGTGTTGTGCCCCGACGGGCCACCTGTTGCTCGCCGTCTGGCTGTTGTTGTTGTTGTTGTGGGGGAATAAACAGCAGCGCCACCCCGCCTCGCCGCCACGCCACCCCGCGGCAGGGACGGCCAGCAACGCCAGGCAGCGCACAGTGGGCCAGACGACCCGCGGGGCGATCAAAATCCCGGGTGGGTTTTGAGCTCCGGAGTCGCTAAATGGGACTCGAACCGAACGTGTGACCCCACCAATGGATTGCTCTCCGAACGAGGAATCCATTGGTGGGGTCACACGTGCGGTTCGACTGCATCCATCCCCATTTCCCCCCTCCCCTTTCTCTTTTCCAGTGCACTCACTTGACGAAGGCCTGGAAGTGGTCGCAGACGACCTCGCAGCCGGGCCACCGGCACACGCCGTGCGAGTACAGGGGGTGCATCTTGTCCAGCTCGTCGGCCAGCGGCGCCAGGCCGGACGCCAGGCCGGGCCCCCCGGGCACCATGGGGGGCATGGCCAGCCCCAGAGGGGGCGCGCCGCCCACCGCGGGGCCGCCGTTCGACTCGTCCGTGCGGCACATCAGGGGAACTGCCAAAAAAGTCAAACAACTTAACTTCTAAAACTACTTCAACAATAAGAAAATTTACAAAACAACTACATTTTTGAAAAAAAAATAAAAAAATGAAATTTGAAAAAATAACGCACTGTTTTCAAAATTTACAAAACAAAATAGCGTTTTGAATTAAAAAAAAAACGCAATTTAAAATTGAAAAAAAAAACAAACAGTTTCTAGTATCTTTTTTCAAATTTGAAACTTTAAACTCCTTTTTTTTTTAGAAAAAATTTGACACATTTTGAAAAGGGCGGTGGGCACTGACCTGGATGCTGCTCCGCAAGCTGCGACCCGTACTGCAAGAGGTAGTGCCTTTGGGCGAGCAGCTGCTGCTGCATCAGATGCTGGCGGGCCAGCTCACTCCCCTGCAACAACAACACGACAACGTTGAAGTTAAAAAAAACGGAATCAAAATTTAAAAAAACGGACCGATGAAGCAAGCCAGGAAATAGGCGATGGTGATTAGAATGGGCTAGACACCTCAAAGCCAGGCAACGGAGCTCGCTAACCTATTTACGATAGACGCCCCCATAAAATGGCCATCCCCAGGGCCGCCGGGGCCGCCAGGGCCAGGGCTGCCAACTTGCCGCCTCGCTCGGAACAATACTTGAAAAGTGAGAAATGTAAATCAGCGCCGCCCCGCCCCACCGCTCGGCCCTACATCGTGGTCCTCGGAGGCTCTGAGGGTGGCACCCCGCAGGACGATGCGCCGTCGATGTCCATAAAAACTAAAATCAGTTTTAAGTCCGCGCAGGTTTAGCGGGTTTTCGTGGACGAACCCGAACCGGGAGGTTGCTGAACCTGGCTGCCAAACCCCCACCCCCGGAACAGGACCCGGGGCGGCTAGACCGCCGCCGCCAACGGGGTATCAATGGAGTGGCAATCATTAATAATGACCCCGCTGGAGAATTTCCAGCTGGAGGGGCGACAAAGAACCGACCAACGAGTCTGGGGCGGCGGTCGGGCGGTACTCGCCGCCCCCAAGACAGCCAAGACACACAGCCATCTTTGTTTGTATCCATTAATTTGGAATCAGCAGCAGCGAGATACACACGTTGTCAGCAATTGCATACATCTGACGCCGCGACGCAGCGAATTACACACACACACACACACACACACACACACACACACACACACACACACACACACCACACTACACACACACACACACACACACACACAACGAGGGGCTGGAGGCAAGTTTGCAGTGGTGGGAAAAGGGTTGGGGCCGAGGCGGTGCCGAAGGAGGCGGAGGGAACCAAACGACGCGAAACCATAAATAAAGAAATAAGGGGGCCGTGGCCGGGTACTCCACAACATAACGATAAAGAGGATCGCTGTCTGGATTTGCGGGCGCCACGCCCCAGGTGGTACACTGCTCGCTACGTTTTCTTTTTTTTCCCCCTTTTTTGGCAACTTTTTCGTAGAGTTAAAAGTTTGCGGAAAGTGGGTCGAATTTCCTCGGCCGAAAGTAAAGCGAGGGCGGCGGTGTCTTGGCAGTGTGCTGAGTCGGGCGGGCCGCACGTCGGTGCTATGAAGGGTTGGAATCACAGTGGGGGCGGCGCGGCGGCGAGGCCCGGCCGGAGAATACAACAACTTGGCCGGTTAGGACGATGAGTGTGGCGCCGAAGACGGTGGGTGTCGTTAATGCTAATTACGCCCGTCTGCCGGTCTGTCTGTCTGTCTGTCAGTCCGTCTGTCTGTCTGTCCGACTGCCGCGCCCCACGAAATGACAGCAAGGGGCTGCGAAAGCGTGGCGAGAATAATCACGAGAATCCCGCTGCTGCTTCGCGCAATCAAAGGTCCAACCAAAGAAAGAAAAAAGAAACTGTGACGGATGACCTGAGGGAGACGCGAACCAGGTTTTTTCAGCCCGCTGGCAAGCACGCTACCGACTGCGCCACGGCGCCGTGCCCCGCAGCCTGGCGTGGCATCTTTCCCAGACACATCGGTGCTGAAAGGGTGAAACTTGCGAGGGGGATGCCAGTGCGTGTGTGTGGGTTGAGTACACGCACTCTGCTTGTTTTGCTGTGTACGGCTCCGAGTCCGCCCGGGCCATACTTTTGTTTACGTAAGCAATTCGCTCAGCTCTTAATGTATTCGAGACTTAGAGCCAAAGTCGGCCCACGACCACCCTACTCTGTATGCGCGCACCCCACCCCCTCGGCCCTGCCCCTCTCATTCCGATAAGTCATACAAATTTGTTTACAGTGGCGCCAACTGCATATTTGCAGAAATGATGCTGTGCCAGCGCGGCGACAACCAGTGACAATGTCTTCGTACTCCTCATAATATTAGAAACAGTGATATTGTTTTTACAAAAACATACTAATTTTGTAAATATTTGGATTATTTTAGAACAGCAAAAACTGAAAAAAAAAACTATTAAATTTTCGTTTTATCTGTAAAAAGGAAAGAACCTGCTGCGGTTTTCTTTCATTTTCCCTGCGGGCTGCGGCCGACCAATCAACGTGGCCGGCAAGTTGTGTCGAAGGCCGCGTTGATTAGAAGCAGCCAATCAGCGCCTGCAGTTTGTGGAAATTAATTCGCCGCTGCAAAACTTGGCTGCTGTGCTGCGCTACACCACCGCGTTCGCCGTACCGCCAACTACCGGCTTCGACTTGCCTTGCCGGTGGAAAGGTGGTTTCCAAACACCGCCAACTTTCCACTGCGCTTTTGGCAATCAGGCAACTGACCGGTTCGAAATGTATCGGCCGTTTTCTCAAAGTGTTTCCCTTGAGTTTCTCGCTGGGTTTCTCGCACGGCCCTGTCTTGAACCGCACCACTGTTAAGACGACCCGGACGACGGTAACGGGATTCCATTTCGCGTCGGGAAACGACACAGGAAGCGGTGGAACGACATGGGCAAAAACTTGAAAGTGGCTTTTCGGCGCGCAGGTGGCGTTCTGCTGTCGCTCCGTCTCTCTCGCACTCACGGGGCGTTCCGTGGGGGTGCGAGAGAGACGGAGCCGCTCGGCGGTGTCATGTGTGGAATCTCAGGGATCGTTAGAGGGGGTGGGAGGGGGAGCGCCAAAGCCCTGGGCTCCTTCTGTGACGCTGCCCTCCGATTCATATTCACAGGCATGCCCCAGCCGTGCATGGAGCGGTCTCCACGGTGTAAGGCGGGGCGGGGCGGGGCGGAGCGGAGCACGGCCCCAGAGTGTAATTGTTTGTGTGCCAAGCCGAGTTAATCGTACGTGTGCCGTGGTGTGCCTGCGCGCAAAGTACATACACCGCGAAAAACAGTGCCGGTACAGTGGAAGCAGACATAACTCTGAGACACTCGAATCAATCAGGGGAGGATACCATTGGATTCCTCGTTCGAAGGGCAATCCAGAGGTGCCACTACATGCCTGATTCGAGTTCGATTTGAGGACTCTGACTAAATTTCGTCGCGTGTCGACCGCCTAAACAAGTCCACCGCCGCGCATCGCTAAAACTGATGGCAACATAATGACGACAAACACTGGATGATTGGCCGGGCCTCGCTGCGCCACGCTACGCCAAACGATGTTGACGTTCGATCAAGACAGAGGTAGGTTTGCTCGTTGTTCCGGACCCCTTTCCAGCAGTAAAATCAACTTAATTTTCGGGCGGACGTCTGCAGAGGCCACGGGGCCAGTAAACAGGACCGAGGCCCAGGCAGCGGTCCGATCAGTCTTACTCGTCTTTCTCCTCCTTGGGGCCTGTTTGGCTTCATTTCCCAGCTGGGGCAAGGAAAACAGCCCTGCGAAAGACCAACACGCAAGTTTGATGAAGACACTGGCTGGCCAGGGCCAACAGAGGCACAATCGCACGTTCGTCAGAGTCACGGGCTTGTCCGTCACTAGCCCTTTTTTTGTCAGTGGTCATCGAGTCCTTCACTAGCCTTTTTTTCGTCAGTGGTTATCAAGTTCGTCACCATCCTTTTTTTCGTCGGTAGTCATTAATTCCATCACTTAACATTTTTTCGTCAGTGGTCATCAAGTTCGTCACTTACATTTTTTCGTCAGTGGTCATCAAGTCCATAACTAGCCCTTATTTTTCGTCAGTGGTCCAATACGTTCCCTTGACGAATTAGTTCGAGTGTTGCAGAAGCATTGAGCTGCATTGGGCTAGCAGCTCACGGTGGGCGAAGTACCGAAATTTCCTCCAGCACTTGTGTAACCGCGTCCGTCTGAGCCAAGGCTGCCACCCCTTGGCTGTGTCCGGGGCGGCATGCCCCCCGACGCAGCCCGGCAAGCAGCCCGGCACGCCACGGAGATGTTTGTTTTAATAATTGAGTATCAATTAGAGACCTCTGCATTGTCGGGGTGGCTTGTTCTTTAGCAACAATCGTAACTCAACAACACACAACAATGCAACCGCCAACAAAGGCGGATACTAATGAAACGATTCCCTAATTTCGCGTCCGGACGTGAGCCAATGAATTATGTACACTCAAGACTCCATTGTTTATCCGCAAGTTTTGAGTTCCTTCGAGGAGGTACCGGGGCCGGCGTTTCTGCAGAGATGGACCAGCACCAAACTCGGTTCCATCTACCCGTTCACAAAATTTGCAATCCTCAGGGTTGACGCAAAAAATATAACGTGATCCCAAAATGGTAAAATCGTCCTGCGCTCTGGTTAGCCCGACAATTAATTCAGGAGAAGGTCAAAAATGTCTGCTCTGATTCTGAGGCGTCTTGGCCACAGTGTGGGCAACACACGCTGCAAGACGGCCGGTCCGCCTGGCCAGGCCGTGCCGAGAGGGAGGGAGAGAGCGGTTTGTTGGGGCATTACTCATGGATGGCCTGTTTGCGCTGGCGAACCAACCAGCCAGCCAGCCAAGGTGCGTCCCAGACAAACCCTCTTAAACCCACCAATTCCTCTAACCTGTCTCGCCCTTCGCTTTTTCCGCGGAGACGACTAGAGCTAGCTGCCACACCGGCAAATGATGTAAATAATAAACTAGATTGTGGTCGCTGTTTGTTTCCGCCCCTCGCTTGTTTTTTTATTTCATTTTTCCCTCCGAAAATTTCGGTGTATTAATTAAAACATTAATCACGCCATTACACGCGGACAAATAGGCCGAAACATTGCCCTCATTGCACAGTGACCCGCTGCTGGGCTCTCTCTCTCTCTCTCTTTCTCCCCCCTCTTTCTCACTCACACACACTAATACACACACACACACACACACACACACACACACACACACACACGGCAGGGCAGCAATTGAACGGGCTTAAGTAGCAAAGCTGCGCGGCCAACACGCTGTAAACCGGACCAAAACAACAACACGCGCGCAAAACAACAACAGCAGCAGCAGCGGCGCGCTAACACCCACGCGGCCACCCACTGTCAACAGTCGATACAACTGCCGTTAATTTGAGCTTGTTTG